GAGCCGCCCCGTGGCAGACACAGCTGGATGTGATTAGAGGGCAGTGGACAGTGGCAGGCAACCAGCAGATGACCCTCACAGTGAAGAAAGATGAAGAATTCTGTTCTTCCTCTCCCACTTTTATTTTTTAATTAAAAAATGCTGTTTTTTAAACTAAACTGTAAGTTTATCTCCATTTCTTAGATAACCTAATGTTTGAAAAGCTTGCAGACTTTGTTCTTGCCCATGTAGAAACAAGTATTGGTTGTAAAGGGGATCATAGGCTATAAACGCTTTCATTACCTACACTGTGTTGCGTTTCTTTACCTGAAGCTTGATCACCCTAGGCTCAAGATAGCCCTGGGAGTTAATTAACCCATGACCTTTGAAATCATGTGCGAGGTTGACTGGTTAAAAGAATGAGATTGTAAGAAGCTGGAGAACTCACACATTCAGTGGGTGTTAAATAATATAGAAAGAAGGGACAGATAAAAGAACTAGTACCATGTGATTCCACAGAAGCAGAGGTGGCATTTTTAGAAAGTGGGCAAATACAACAGTGTCCATGCAGCAGAGGCCTAGCAAGATATAAATTGAAAAATGTGGGTGGGTTTTCCAATGACAGGTTTGTTGGTCACCACACAAGAGTAGTTGAAACAGTGAGTGGTAGTGGGGAGTTTGAAACAGAAAGAGAGACAGAAGTGACTGGCCCACATGATGGGGAAGGGTTCATGGGTCTGACCACAACTTGGGGAGGATTAACTTTGAATAGAGAGAGGGTCTCCTCCTTTTTGGCAGCATTGTTAAGGATGTCTGTGCGGCTGGGTAGTGGGTAGAGCTGGGAAGATCACTCCTGGGGGCCTCAGCTTGCTTAGTAGCACCCTCAGAGCACCTGTTGAGAGTAACAAGGGTCAGCTGGCAGGAAGGTCATGACTCAAGTTGTGCGAGTGGTAGAATCTTAGACTAGAGGAGGGGGCTGACCAAGGCTTTCCTGAAGGTGTTGAGGGCCTTGATGTGACTGAAAATCTTGAGTTTTTTGTAGCACAATAGTTCTCAGCAGTGTACTCCTTAGACTCCTGAGGTTCCCGGAATCCTGTCAGGGTGTCCGTGAGGTTGAAGCTGTGTTCGTGGTACCACTGAGGCGTTTGTTACAGTCTTCTCTGTGCTGCCATCTGCTGTCTTGGTGCACAAGCCATGGTGAGCAAGGCTGCCAGCACCTCAGTCCAGTCCAGGGCAGGGCAGTGGCACCAGAGCGATCCTTGAGCTCTGCACCGCCACACCCTTACAGCTGAAACCAAACCAGTAAAAAGTGCTCAAAATACATTTCTTTATGATGTTCTGTGTGACAGAATGGGAAGCACACTTACAGCATTTCTGCTGCATACTAAATGCAGTAGTTTTCTCAGGAAAAAGCACTTGTGAAGTTGAGCTGTGAGCTGAATTAACTGCTTTTTAAAATTGATCTTCAGTAATTTTTAAGAGCATAAAAAGGTTCTGAGTTCAGAAAGTTTAAGAAGCACTGTCACAGTGGCACCCTTTGGTCCTTTCCTCTAGCCCTGCTCAGAAACTTGAGTTTAGGATGGAAGTGACAGGTTGCAGCATTAATCCAAGATCAGAGTTTTGTTGGGCCAGTGAGACCAACCTGAAGAGGCGCTGTGGAAAGCCAGTGAGATGTCCCCAGAGTTGGGCAGGACAGGAAGGAAAAGGCTGATGGATTAGAGGAAAGGGCGGGGTCAGATTGCTGTGTACTCTGAGGTTACAGCGAAGGTGTGTCATTCTGCAGGGCACTGGGAAGAGGGATTGTGGTCAGGTGTAAACCTAGCCTCAAGGGACATTAGTCTTGTAGGGGAGATGAAACCTGTGTCTGAGTAAGCATCCTCGCAGGCAGCCATGAGCCGTCTGAGTGCTACCAGTGGGTCACTGCGTGGCAGTGGGGAGGGAGGCTGGGCACCCTGACTGTGGGACCAGCACCCGCCAGCTGCTTCCCATTTCTCCCCTTTTCTCCTTCTGTGGCTAAAATAATGCAGAAATAGCATTTGCAATAAAAGGAGGCTGGAAACCCAGCTATTTTTCAAGTAGCCCCCCCTCCCCCTCCCAAAAAAAAGCTATCATCCTTTGAAATTTTTGCCTGGAGGTTTAAGAGCGTAGAATTTAACTTAAAGGAACTAACATCTGTTTTAGAAATGCTTAAGCTGCAAAACATTCAGTTAGGTTGAAGTGCTTCCCTACTTAATACCAACAAGTTTGGATGGGGGGAAATACCCCCAACAGTTTAGAAATAATGCTGTTTAGACTCTGACTTTGGTCCAGCCCTCCTGGACTTTTCCTAGCACAGAAGGTGTTCAGCTGGGCAAAAGGCCAAATGACTTTTAATCTCCTCTCAAGAAAGCCCTTGGGAAAATGTCCGTGAGCTATTCAGGGGGAGGGATGGTGGAAGCAGGAAGCAAGGTAAGTTCTATTTACCTGTGTTATAGACAACTGGAAGCTAAAATTCAGCAAAGGTTATGTGTCTTAACATATCTGCCAAGAGTTCTGTGGGAGTAGGGTTTGAGCCAGAAGTGCCTGAGTTCTTGACGTTCATGTTGCGTTGTCCTCACCATTGAGAGGGCCACCTCCTAAACCTTGCTGATTCGTGGGCCCATAGACCCAGTGTCATGACTGCTGCCCAGACTCTGCTGCAGTCAAGGCCAAACCTGTCTAAGATTCTCTACTCCAAAAAGTTCTAAAGTGAATGTCATGATTCAGGAAGTTCCTAAAGTACACTTGTGCATATTGAAAAGATTATAGGCTGGGCACGGTGGCTCACGCCTGTAATCCTAGCACTCTGGGAGCCCAAAATAGGAAATCGCTTGAGCTCAGGAGTTCAAGACCAACCGCAGCAAGAGCAAGACCCCATCTCTATTAAAAATAGAAAAATTAGCCAGGCGTCATAGTTCACACCTATAGTCCCAGCTACTCGGGAGACTGAGACAGGATGATTGCTTCAGTTTGAGGATACAGTGTGCTATGACAACACTACTACACTCTGTAGCCCAGGCAACAGAGAGAGACTCTGTCTCAAAAAAAAAAAAAAAGATCAGAGACAAAAATATAAATAAATTTGAAATGTGTTATTTGTAGAAATTCATTATTTGTGCTTTTTAAAAATATATGTGGATATGAGAAAAGTTCTTTGTTATATGGAATGTCATTGTGTCCAACATGTGGTTTACCACATTTTATTATCTCTTGTTGTCTTGAAGATTGGGGGTTGGCCCCTAAGATGTCATGAAACAAGGGAAATCAAAAGTAGGGCCAGAGCTGAGCGAGTGCATGTGTGAGCAGGAGCACACATTCACACATGCACACATCCTGTCAGTGCCTTCAGGCAGCAGGGTGCCTCCCGCCTCCACCTGACACCCAAGCAGTCACTTTAGAAGGTTTACTGGCCTGCTCTCAAGGGTTGAGCAACTTTTTTAGTGAGTAATTAAATGATAAATCTTTGCAGATGGATGAGGTTGATGTTGGCACCTGCAAATAACCCAATAAGAAATGATCATTGTAGGCCAGGCGTGGTGGCTCACACTTGTAATCCCAGCACTTTGGGAGGCCAAGGCTGGAGGATTGCTTGAGGCCAGGAATTTGAGACCAGCCTGGGCAACACAGCAAGACCCCATCTCTACAAAAAATAGAAAAATTAGCCAGGCGTGGTGGCACGTGCCTGTAGTCTCAGCTGTGTGGGAGGCTGAGGCAGGAGGATTGCTTGAGCCTAGGAGTTTGAGGTTGCAGTGAGCTGTTATGGTACCACTGCTCTCTAGCTGAGACAATAGAGTGAGACCCTGTCTCTTAAAAACAAAAAATCATTGTAAGAAAAAAGGCCAACATTTTTCTTCGTTTTAGTGTCACTGCATTCTCTGAAAATTTGTATTCTTTATATTGATTGGCTAGTAGTTTTTTCAGACTTGCAATAGGTTGTTAGATGTGTTCTTTGGAGCCTTGGATTTTTTAGGGGTGCCTCAGGGGCTATGAGCTAGGGGCCTAAGGGAGGATAGGGTAGCTTCTTTCTTACCTATTTCCATAACTTGAGGCTCTTCTTGAGATGTAAGTTGAAGAAAGGACCTGCTACTAAAATAGAAATCACTGCTCTGAGCATCATTAAATAAAAGGAGACAATAAAATACTTTTAAAAGAAGCCCCTTTTGCTACTTCTTTACCAAAAGAATAATGTATTCTCTAGCATGTGTGTTCTTTCTCATTGACACCTACTCCTGCTGCTAAATACAGGAAGTATTTCGCATTTCCCTTAATCCTTCAGCCAGGCCCTGCAGCCATCCTCATGGCTTGGAGTGGTACCTGGGCCTTAGCCACAGAGGCCAGCAAGTAAGCTGCTCATTATTGCCCCTCCACCACATTTCCGTTGATCCAGCTTGCTCCTACTGCATTCTACACATGAAAGAACTGCTCTGCTGTTGATTACTGGCCAGCTCAAGAGAGCAATTTCACGTTTGGGCCTTGCAGAAGGACTCCAAGCTGCAGAATAGGCTGGGGAGCTGGGGGTCACCCATGACTCTCAGCCAAGATCTGGAAGGAGAAGACTTTGCGTCTGTGACTTTGGAGGCCTTTTCTGTGCGTTGAGAGGCAAATATACCATTACAAAATGACTCTGGAGTTGATCTGAGAGAAGTACATACATGAAACCTTTGCTTTTGATACCTGCAGAGCAGAGTAGTGATTTAGGAAAAGTCCAGGTCTTATAGGCAGACCTGGGTTTGAATCCTGGTCTTATACTTTTTGCCTTTTGGCTGGTCACTCTGCCTGTCTGAGTGTTAGTGTTTGTGATTGTCTGGTGGTCAGTACCTATGTCCACACAGCCTCAGGAGGCCTGGAGGTATAATAGGCACCCCAGGTGCTGGCCACTCGCTCTCCCCATGGTGATGTTTAACATGACCATTTCGTGGATCAGTTTACTTATACAGGAAATGGAAAGTATTTCAGGGACTACTCCTTCTGCTCTCACCACTGCAAAACCTTTCTCTTTATAGCTCTGGACTTACTGGACAAAATGTTGACATTCAACCCTCACAAGAGGATTGAAGTGGAACAGGCTCTAGCCCACCCATATCTGGAGCAGTATTATGATCCAAGTGACGAGGTAAGAGCCTGTGTTTCTGGCCGCTGCTTCAGGGTTGTGGATCAGCCCACATCAGGCCAATCCTGTCCTGCTTAGACTGTCCTGAGAGGTACATATTGCCATACTTGATCCTCCCAACATTCCCACCTCCTCTGCCTTGAGGATGTGGGGCGCAGCTTGGAACCCTGTCCCCCAGACCTCTTCTGATTATCTCAGAAGACTTCTTCCAGGCCACCTGCAGCAGGTGGGGGCTAGGGAAATGTGTGGATAAAGGGGAACAGCTGCACCAGTGTGGAGAATGGAGAGGGTAGGGGTCCGAGGCTGGAGACCATTTTCATGATCTGTGGCAGGAAAAGACACCTCAACCAGTGTGCTGGCCCTGAGGGTGGAGAGGAGGCAGGCAGCCTGCTGGCAGGGCCAGCGCACAAAGTGAAGAGGAGAGGCCAGCCTGGACGGTTCCCACTATGGCGACTCCGTGTCTGGTGTGCCGTTCTCCCTGGAGACGGGGACACGAGAGCCTGTTATGGTGAGAAACTGTGAGGCCAGCAGTGGATGTGGCTGGGCATGCAAATAAAAGACACAGCGTGTTATGTTCTCTCCAGGACAGGCCCATTACCGCAGTTCTCTGATTGCTCTTTGGGCTCATTTTTAACTTTATTCTTGGGAGGATAACAGAGAAAAGTGCAATATGAACAAAAAGTTCATGTTGTTCTAGTTGAGGTTCATATGCATAGAAAATAAAGCCTTTATACTCCTAATTTTAAAGGGGAGAGAAGTAAAAGGAATATGTTTAAATTAAGGGGGAAAATGGAAAAGGAAGGGAAAAACTAACTACCAAAGCTAAAAGCTGATACAGAGAAAGAGGATAGAAGTCAAAAAGAGGAGCTATTTATTATTAATCAGCTTCCCCTGCCACGTCGATCTCCTTCCCCCTAGAAACAAGTGAGACAACTTTTAGAAATACCTGTAACCTAGTCAGTAACACAGAACAGGTCAGAATCCAGGTTTGGGGCTCTTCTTGGTCTGATGACCTGGAGATTTCCTAAGTCTCCGTGTCCTGATCAGCAGGCTGGGTGGTGGACACCCAGTGTGGCCCCAAACATAGAGCTGCCCTTCAAGCAGGCCGCTTATTCTTCTGTGGACATGAATCCTTTTCTCTCTTTCACGTGCCCAAAGCTTGGTGAGGAGTTCAGTATCTGTGCTTCCTCCCCCAAAGGCCTTGTGTAGGATGACACGGTCTGGAGGCCTAGGCATCTGCTGATTGACAGCTGGTATCAATCATTGGCTCAGTTCTATAACGTTGCATTAGTTTGTGGACATTTAAAAATCAAAATAATATTAATTGGTTGATTAATATGTTTGAGTGTGTATAGGGGTTCTTTGATGCAAATAGACAGTTTATATTTTACTTAAATAACTTTCTGATTATTCATAGTGTTGTAAAAAATATAATTGAAACTCAAAAGAAAAATACAAGAAAGATCACTTTTCGATATCATTACAGCTATTATTATTAAAATTTTGGAATGGCCGGGTGCGGTGGCTCACGCCTGTAATCCTAGCACTCTGGGAGGCCGAGGCGGACGGATTGTTTGAGCTCAGGAGTTCGAAACCAGCCTGAGCAAGAGCGAGACCCCGTCTCTACTAAAAATGGAAAGAAATTAATCGGACAACTAAAACTATATAGAAAAAATTAGCCGAACATAGTGGCGCATGCCTGTAATCCCAGCTACTTGGGAGGCTGAGGCAGAAGGATCACTTGAGCCCAGGAGTTTGAGGTTGCTGTGAGCTAGGCTGACGCCACGGCACTCACTCTAGCCCGGGCAAAAGAGTTGGCTTTTTCTCCCAAAAAAAAAAAAAAAAAATTTGGAGTATTTCCTTCCCTATCTTACATTTCTATATCTAAATTTAAAAAATGAAGCAGGGTTCATTTTCTTTATTTAACACAAACATGGTCATTTTCCCATGGTATTAGTCTTCCTTGAAGCTTCATTTTTAATAGCTCCATAATATCTCTTCATATAAAGATTCTATAATCAAATGCATTTATCTTAGTGTCTTGGGTTTTGTTTGTATAAACATACCACCACCCCCACAGCAGCGTGTTTCTATTATTTCAACCTTCAGTGCCTTAAAACATTTGAAAATGATCCCAGGATCTGTGATGAGTTCAGAAGAACACTTAAAACAGATTCAATTGCTCCGAGACCATTTACGTGCTTATGAGAAGGGTGCTTTCAGGAGTGTGGGCACAAGAGTGTAGATATGCATCAGAGTTCTCAGTTTTTATGAGACATCAGTCTTGTATAAATTTCAGAATCTGAGCCATAGTCATTATATGAATCTGTAAATTACTTCTTTAGCCATAACAACTTTTGACTATTAAATGTTTCTTGTTTTTTCTTAAAGCCCATTGCTGAAGCACCATTCAAGTTTGACATGGAATTGGATGACTTGCCTAAGGAAAAGCTCAAAGAGCTCATTTTTGAAGAGACTGCTAGATTCCAGCCAGGATACAGATCTTAAATTTGTCAGGTACTTTAACCATGCAGTTAACCCTAGCAAGGGAGAGAGAATATAAATGAAATGTTAGTAAAAAGAAAAAAAATTCAATGCATTCCTCTGTAGCTGCATATAGTCATCCCTCGGTATCCATGAAGGATTGGTACCAGGACCCATGGATGCCAAAGTCCCTTCTATAAAATAGCGTACTGTTTGCACATGTCCTGTGCACGTCCTCCAGCGTACTTTAAGTCATCTCTAGATCACTGACAATACCTAATGCAATGCCTGCACGTTACTTGATTCAGGTGGATTCAGTGTTAATACTTTGCACACAGCAAAATCACATTTTGCTTTTTGGAACTTTGTGGAATTTTTTTTTGTTACTATTTTTGATCCATGGTTTGTTGAATTCACAAATATTGGAGGGCAAGCTGTATAGCTTTTACACGAGTGTTTCATGGTTCAAACCTGGAAATTAGACTTTTGTCTTTCACCATTGTTGAAGAGATGTACTTGGAATTCTTTAATTTTTGGCAGTTTACAAAGACATGAAGTTGATGTGAAATTAAAGTGGGTTTTAGAATAATAGCTACAGTGAGACTAGGAAGACGGTGAGCATGAGAGGAAAATCACAGAAGACTGTGCAGAGGAAAGGAAGGAGAGGAGACAGCCACAGGAGAAGGAAAGAAAGATGCATAGATGTCCCAACCAAAACACAGCTTCTCATAGTTTGGTTTTTTAGAAGAATTCATAGTACTGGTATGTGTGTGTGAACAGGGTGTTTAACTCTCGTGCTTGCTAGGAAATGTGGGTGCCAGGGCACACTGCTCTCCCAGAAGAGGAGCTGCTTCCTGCTAAGAGGAGTAGCCAGCTGCTCAGAGTGGCAGCCTGATCTCTGGGCACTCCCCTTGGTCTTTAAAACATTGTGTTCCTCAAGATAAGTCTGTTATATCATATTCTTTTCCCAGCTCCTTTTTGAAAGGTATTTTCTTTAATTTAGAATTAAAAATAATTTAAAAGGTTACCTATATTCCTTTAGGAATCTCCCTCCTTTAGAAGTCCCTCCTTTCTTTACTCAAGGGTAGTGAATGTGATTATTTGGGAGCTACTTGTTCGTATTCTAGATTGTTCGGCTTTTGGTTCTTATTCTTTCCTTGCTGCCTGTCCTGGGCAGTTTCTCAGTATATGAGCATCTCTCTGGAAAGGATTCCCTTCAGGACTCCCTCCCATGGAAAGCAGAGCCACCAATTAAATAAATCTGATGTTTTAGAGTCCTTTTGCCCACCACTCAGAAGCTCCTAGCCAGGACCTGGTTCTGCAACTGATGCTGCTTACAAGGGGCCCAAACTCTGTTCTCGGTTCAGACCGGGAGTGGGGCAAGCAAAGCTGGTGAAGCCTCGTCAAGGAGCGTAGGCTAGGCTGGCCTCTTCGGAATTCACACGGCCTTTGCAGAGGCTTCATGAGCTTAGGTCATAAGGAGTGGGGGCCCGTGTGGCAAAATTGGTAGATTGAAAAGAAGTAAGTGCACAAAAAAAGAAAACGCAAATCTTGATCTTAGAAGATGTGTGGCAAGAGGAGAGAGAACAGGGCTTGTGTTAGAACTATAGAAATGAGCAGTGAGCAAAGAATTGTGAGCCAGAGCAGAAGCAGTTGCTGGGGAAATGCTTTGGAGAGGACTGTGTTACAGTTTCCAGGCTCCCAGCCCCCTGCAAAGAACCGAGGAAGGGTAGACATGAGGTGAGAACAGACGTGGCCAGCACCGCCTCTGAGTAGAGAGCTCTGAAAGCCAAGCAGAGCTGCGAAGTGGTGAGGGATACACTAATAGTTTGGGAGGTAGAAAATGTTTTCCGAAGAAATCTGACATCAAGTCAGAGGGGAGAAATGAGGGGAGACTGGGTAGGAGATCAGCTAAAAACAAACCTATGATCTTCCATACTAGAGGGGCTGCAGCCTTGCACTAGGGCTGTGGTGGTAAGAAGCAGTGACTCCAAGAGAATGGAGGAGGGCCGGGCGCGGTGGCTCACGCCTATAACCCTAGCACTCTGGCAGGCCGAGGCGGGCGGATCGTTCTGAGCTCAGGAGTTCGAGACCAGCCTGAGCAAGAGCGAGACCCCGTCTCTACCAAAAAATGGAAAGAAATTAATTGGACAGCTAAAAATATATGTAGAAAAAACTAGCCGGGCATGGTGGTGCGTGCCTGTAGTCCCAGCTACTGGGCCGAGGTGGGCGGATCATTTGAGCTCAGGAGTTCAAGACCAGCCTGAGCAAGAGCCAGATCCCGTCTCTACTAAGAATAGAAAGAAATTAGCTGGACAACTAAAGATATGTACAAAAAATTAGGCGGGCATGGCGGCGCATGCCTGTAGTCCCAGCTACTCGGGAGGCTGAGGCAGGAGGATCGCTTGAGCCCAGGAGTTTGAGGT